GAAACGTGGTTTTTGAACAAGAATATAGCCTTCTCGTGGCTGAGGGCTTGATTGGGTCGATGTTGAATCCATCAAAAGTATTGTATCGATTGTTAACGTCAGTCCCAGCTCCCCGGTACCGAATATTGCCCAACTGGCAATTCCCTTTCTTGGGTGGCTTGACTATCGCTATTTTGGCTTGGGATGGGTCCCCCTGGCTTAAAGTTATGAAGTGGAGAGTGAGTCGATATGAATCACTGATCAACGAGTCAACAACACGAAAGGGTCAGCCCCCACTATGTCCCTGAGCTACCGCAACTTTCGGATAGCGATTCCGGCACCGTGACCGCGGTAGGAATATTGCTGCCAGTGTCCAAACGAAGAACAGCAGAATGAGCACAATCACGATGAAAAAAGTACAAGATCAATGAGTATTCAAAGACGGACGATACTATGGCGCCAAACAACTTTGCGCGTCGCCGATACGCTCGAATCACGGCTGGCATTGTTCTTGCGATGGTAAGTTTCCATACCCCATTGCCTGTTGGCGAGGACAAGATCTGACAGAACGTTTGGAGCTCGTCTGTCAAAATGCGGCCAGCATATTGGTGAGTTGACAGCCTTTGACTGCGCCTAACTTGCAGTTCAATCATGGACAACTAGAATATGACTGATGGGGATCGGTAATTAGTTGCAGCACAAGGTGCAGAGCCGCCCGCAAGACAATTCCGCTCGGTATGAGCCTCTCAGTGCTGTTGTCCTTTCCGAGGCTTTGAAGTTGTTCATCTCCCTCGGCGGTGCTGCTTGGGCTTACAACAATACTGAAGACCGCACGGCAATTACTTCCGGGTTTTTAGATTACGTGCGGAGCGGCCATGACAACGCTGCCATACCGGCTTTCCTCTACACGCTCTCGGCCACCAGCCAGAGTTTTGGGGCTTACCACCTCAGCATTCTGCCGTACCTGATGCTGTCGCAAGTGAAGCTCATCCTGACACCTATCTTCAGCAAAACCCTCCTGAAACAGACACTGCACCCTCATCAATGGGTGTGCCTGGTGATCATGGCAGCAGGAATAGTCATGGTACAGGTCGGTTCTCTACCGTCGTCATTGAGCGATGTCAACAGCAGTGACGCAGGCAAAGATAGGGCCTTCGGAATTGTCGCCATGCTGGTGGCTGGTTGCTGTAGCGCTTTCGCGGGTGTCTATATGGAAGCTGTCCTGAAGTCCTCAGATCGTAGTTTCATGGTTCGCAACGCTCAGCTGGCGGCATACGGCTGTTTATGTGCACTCGGCGGCTTCTTGTGGCAGTCAGACTTTAGCGCCAAAGGTTTTTTCCTTGGTTACACGACGCTGGTCTGGGATTTCGTTCTGCTGCAAGCCATGGGAGGGTTTCTCGTCTCTTGGGCGGTCCGTGTATCGAGCACCATTGCCAAGAATTATGCTCAGAGTTTGGGTTTCCTGTCAGCCTCGACGATTCCCTTACTCTCGTCACCTCACGCATTGAGCTTTGAGGTAAGGACACCAAGAGTCCTCGACTAAGATTTTCGAACCCTTGAACTGACTGGCTTGTAGTTGTACTCTGGTATCGCAATGGTTCTAGGAGGCGTATTCGGATCTCTCTGGAAGACCGAAATGCCTGTTGATTCCAAAGTAGACAGTGACGAAAGACCTAAAGAAGGATCAATAGTTTAATGACGAATGACACGTACGTTCATGGCCTACGGCTTCTCTTCCTAATCATCTCACTCGATAAAGCAGAGGTTCTGGATTAGAGACCATGGATGGTTTCACCACTTCGAATATTCTAGTAAATAGAGTGAGTTCCCTGATGTCCGTGAACTCGGGGGAGTAGTTGCCTTTACGGCCTCGCTCACATTTCTTTCCGCACTTGTGGCCAAGGAGCAGCACTTTGCTGAGATGATTCTTCCGCCCTCCTCGAAGAGCGCAGCTAATGGTGCTGCCGCCGGAATGTCGATAAAATACAATAGGGACTGCCTAGACTATGCTGGATATCCACGCTTCTCACTTTCCGTGAAGAAGATGACCATGCGCCATAACTTTTTGACCATATCCTCTGCCTCGTCATCCAATGCCTGCGGTAAGTGTTAGAGACCCTACAAAGAGAAGAGAGGGGCATGGTATAGGTACCGCTGCAAGCTCTTCCACCAGCTCGGAAGGCTTCCCGTGCTTCCGAAGATGCTCCTCCACGACCTCAACAAGCATCTCCTCTTGTACGCCTAGATACTCGACAATTTTCTTCTCGACAAACGGACGGAGCTTGTCGCGGATGATGGCATCGTCCAAGAAGTCCCACTGCACAGCCCAGTTCCATAGGCCGTCTTTCTCCGACGGGATTTCCTGGGCAAGAGCACGAACAGCCTTGCTAATCTCCTCCTCGGTCATCTTGTCCGCCGCAGTCGTAGGCTCGAACTGGATGGGGATAAGCTGTCTTCTCGTTGTGCTGTCTTGTTCCTCGTCGTCAAGAAGGCCCTCCACCTCAGCAACAGTCCGTCGTTGAGGAGCCACGCGCTGGGCTTGTGCGCGCTGAGCCGCAGCACCCAGCGACAACTTGAAGGGCGCTGGTGCGGACGCGGCTGCTTGTTGTCGCTGCTCCATCTCATGGGCTTGTTGGTCAAGGAAGGAGTCGGCCATGCCGCGCGCCCTCTCCATGTCTGCAGCCTCTCTCCGGCGCTCGTCCTCTTCAGCCCTCCGATCTGCCTCGTCCCTGGCTTGTTCGTCGGCTCGTTCGATTTGTCGCTTCTTGACCCAGCCCGCATGGTCGCGGTAGTACAAGTGGTTCTTCCTAGACGCTTCTCTTTCGTCATCCCAGGCCTTTTCCCGTTCAAGCTGCTCTTGTACGCGTCTCTCCAGCGTCTCCTCATCCTGCAATTCACGGTCCTTTTCTCTCTCCAAGGCTGCAGCACGGGAACGCTCTCTGTTGACCCATTTTCGCTCCGCCTCAAGATACATCTTTTCTTCCTCTGACTTTTGCTTCGAGAGCTCCCGCTGGTAGATCTCCTCGTCGTCGGCCTCCGTATCTTCGTCTTCGCGGTTGATAGACAATTCGGCATTCGAAATACCTCCGTTCACGAAGGATGTCGTGCGGGACCCATTCTGTCCTCTGGGGCCCGAGGGCGCGTTGTGCATCCCACGAGGTCCAACAGGAATATTGTTGGTGTTGGAAGGCGGCGGAGAATCCAGCCGTGATAACCGTGAGGGTCCATTGCGGTTCCGTTCCATCTCCTCCATCTCTTCCTCACGTTTGAGACGTTCCAGATCTCGCTTGTTGCTGCGTTCTCTGAATGCTGCGATCTCTGCGGCGACAACCTCTCTCATCTCCGCAGGGATATCTGCAAGCTCATCATCTTGAGCCAGAGGGATATTGACAACCTCGACGTTCTCTCCGGAATTGCTCATTGACACATCGCCTTCGCCGTCGGCTGTGCTTGAGAATTTTGGATACACTAGCTCCCGGATGACTTGTTTCAGAGTATCCTTGGCAGTCTTTGTCCGAGATTCGGCACTACTATCATCGCCTCTGCCTTCCTTGTAAGATTCGATGTACTTGAGAGAGTTCGGGTCAATGGCGACTTGGAGCTTGACCATTTCAACTCCATCGAAAGAGTCGCCTTCCGATGATACACTGTCGGATGGGGTTTGTCGCTTCAGGGGGACCTCGATGTCTTGAAGCAGATCGCAAGCGGTTGCAAAGGAATCGGCATCCTCGTACTGCGCGAAGCCAAACTTTGCTCCTTTGCCGTCAGAAAGCACCGAAGTAGCGACGTCCCATCTCCGAAGTTTTCCGACAGAATTGAGGATGGATTCGATGCCTTCATCGCCTCTTACGCCTTCAGGAATTTTATGGATGAATAATGTTCTCAACTTCTCCTCGTTGGTCGGCGGGACCAGGGACTGCATGTGCTCGCGTGCGGCAGCGCGGGACTGATCGTACCCGCGGTCCATACCCAATCCTTGTCGTCCGCCGCTCGGAGTATTGCTATCTTTTCTGCCGACATCAGGGCCGCCTGGCTTGCCACCTATAGTACCAAGACGAATGACGGGTGCACTGAAGTTGATATTTGGGAGGTTCGCGGGAGCTTGGAAGTTAGGCGGCAGGCCGCTTTGTCGGTTAGCTTGGGCATTGTTGGACTGCTGGACACCGGGAGGTGGTGCCATTCCCGGAGCGGAAGACATGCCTGGCGGAGGGCCTGAAGACGGGTTAGCAGAGCATCTTGGTATCAGAGCATTGTATTCCGAACCTAGACCAGGTGGAGGAGCCATGCCTGGGGCGCCATTGGACCCCGGGAAGCCACCATAAGTCGGAGGCGGCCCATATGGGTTTCCTGCTGCAGAGATGAGTGAGCAATAGATCGCTTGGGGGTTCGAAGATTGACGCACCTCCATAAGGATTGTAGGACATGGTGGGAAAATCTACGGGGTTGCTGATGGAAGGGCAGATGTGGGATCGTGGACCAACGATTCTGCAATTGGCGAGACTGGCTTGAGTCGCGGAGATGGTCAGTGATAAACAGATTGTGGGTGATGCCCCGGTTCAGACCTCGCCGCTCAGATCGAAGGAAGGGAAGGGGCGACAGGGTCTGCGTGGGAGACAGAGGCAGACGGAGGGCGTGGCGGTAGGTGGGACGCAGAGCTCCAAAGTCGAACACTGAAGCTCTTGGTCTGTCTCTGTAGTCAAGTCTCTCAGGGCCTGATCCAGTTCTCTCCAAAATTCGGCGCGAGGCCAACGCGAATTGGCCTTGTAACGCGACAGCTCTTTGATTGGTCGATACTCAATGGTGGGTTCCTCGGCATCTCGGAGATACCCTTCGCCGATTAAGCTCCCAATCGATTGAATTCGCGACTCGTCAGGTCTGGGCTTTGGAAGGAAATATTGTAAGGTCAATCGCCAAAGCTGCGCCAAATCGGATTCCTTTGCATTGTGCTCGCCTGGCCTCGGCGACACTCAATCGCAATGTGAGCATCTCTCCTCGTTTCACTGTTGATTCTTGACTAACCAATGTCTTCTAGGGCGTCGGAAATCGGGTTGCTGAGCAAAAGACTGCTCACCACCTGCACCATCCGCAGTCCCTCTCTGCATGCATCACAAGCGTTCCGACAGCCATTATGGGCTCACCCGCGTGCCTTTGCGACCTCTTCAATCCTCTCGGCTCCTCCTCGCTCCGGTTCACGGTCAAACCTTGAAGGCCTGTTCTCCAAGCCCTCCCCGACGAACTACGCCCAACCGCCGCCTCCGCCGCCGGCCGTAGACGCGGCTGCCCCTTCTCAGGAGAAGTCCGATAGTCCCTACGCATACGACGCCACTTCTGACACATTTGATATTTCCAAAATTATCGCCATGGAATCGGATGAATTCCTCAAGAAGCATTACCCCACTAGCAAGCAAGAGCCCGACCTGCGCACACGTCCACAGACTGGTCGAACCGTACACCTTACCAGCAAGACGGATTTGGCCAAGGCACTGAAGCTTCTTGACTTCAACTGCAGGAAGAACAAGATCAAGAGACAATTCCAACTACAGAAGTTCCATGAGCGCCCAGGAAAGAAGCGTAAGAGACAGAAGAGCGAGAGATGGAGGGCTCGTTTCAAGGAAGGGTTCAAGGCAACAGTGGCGAGAGTCATGGAGCTCAAGAATCAAGGCTGGTAGGAGCGACCCTTAGCATGTGACAATATCCCTGGAGAAGATGTAGCACATGGTGTTTACAAGATGTACAATATGTAGAAATCACAAAGATTTTGTTGTCCCAATGCGTTACTTTGGGGTGTTATTAGCGGCTTGAACTCTGTATTTCGAGGGCGCAGAGTGTGTATAGGTGTCTACAGAGATTTCTCAAGTGGTTTCCTGGACGGTGAGGGGGCCGGGCTCGTCTTGATCCTCGGCCGGCTACGGAATACAGCTTCCATGTCTTCAACGGCCATCAACTCCTCGGCAAGTATCGATGCATCGGGGTCCAGCTCCATCGTCTCCTCCTCAACGACGGGGATCTGGCTCTCGGTTCGGGCTCGAGGCCGTGACTTCTTCAGCGATTTTTGTCTGTCCAGTTGTGCTTTTTGGTGGACGGCCTCAAACCCAACCATGCTCTTGCGTGTGCGAGCCACCAGGTCGTCCTCATCAGTCACGCGAATCGTAACTTCCCCAGTCCGGCGATTAGCACTGGCAAAGGATGGTCTCAGGGTCAGCGTGTCATCCTCGTCGTCTGGGTCGTATCTGACGTTACGCGAGGATCGAGCCATTGACAACCGCGTCCGCTCTGCGAGGGACAGGGTATGACGTGGTTTGGAGCGCTTGACAGGTGAGGGGGATGCAACGTCTATGTCCTTCAAGATCTGGTCTGCCAGCTCTTGTGTTGGTGATTTGGGTGGCTCGGGTGAGCTGTCTTCCCTTTCAAACGGAACCTCCGCCTCGCCTTGTTCTTCCAGGGGCGGAGTTGCAATGCGGTTAGGGATCGCCTCCGTAATGTCGTCTTCGTCCGGTAAAGGGGGGGTCGGCGGAGGGATAGCCAGTTCATCTTGCGACTCTGGCGGTAGTAGCAATGGGCTAGGTAGCGGGGCTGGCAGGTCAGAACTGCTGGTGCGGGAAGAAATGCTGATGGCGGGACGTTCGAGACGTCTGAGATGGGGTTCCTGCAGCGACGGACGCCGGGGTAGATTGTTTGTTCCATGCAAATCGTCCTCTAATTCGCTGAGTTCTGAGATGGTCTCGTCTCCGAGGCTTTCCCTCGTAGCCAGAATCCCATCTGGCTTCTCATGTTGGCGAGTCCGTGGGCCCAATGTCTCGGTGAGCTTAACCACAGGCAGAGAGCCTACTTCAGCCAATTCTGCCAGACAGTCATCCAAAAGATTGGAGTAATTCCTTGACAATGAAGTGCTCTTCTTTGCAAGCTGCCTTTTCGGGCTCGTCTTTCCCAGATGCAAGCTCTCATGGAAGTCGAATTCGAGGTCGATACCACGTTTTGCTCTCGTTGGCTGTGACATCTTGGACGTGCTGGCTTTGCGTCGTTCGCCGAACATGCCGGCTCGGAATTCCTGCCATCTCGCGAGTCTCTCCCTCTGCGTCCTGACACGGTCGTCCAATTGCTCCAAAAGCCCTGTATCGTGCGTCTCCAACTCGGTAAGTCGGCCAGACTCCAAGCGCCGCCAGATTCTGTCAAAGGGGGCCGACAACAGGCCATCCTTGCGGGCGTTGGAGTCACCGTAGAGAAGAGTCTCCATCCATTTCTCATTCCCAGCCCAGTTCGTTCGCACCGTCCTCCAAGTATCCGACCTGAGATTGTCTGGTAGGTCTCGCGCGCTTGTTATTTCTCGAGCGGATTTGATTTCCTCCTTCCTCCGTGCAATGCCTTTCTCCTTCTGGCTCAACACTTCAGCAAGGTCGCGATATTTTTTCCTGGCCTCATTTTTCTTCCGCATAGCATTGGTAATGGAGGCTCTGTGAGCAAGCGCAAGAGTCACAAGCTCCGTCCGTTCGGCACTGTAACCCCGATTTTCTAACGCAACTTGCTGGGCGATGGCTGGATACTCGTGCTCGGTTTCTGTCACTTCGGCCACCATCTTTTTCAAAACGGCGGACGAGAATACGGCAAGAACTTCTTCCAATCTCTCCCCTTTGCATTCATCTAGCATGGTCTTGCGAACCACGGCGTCTCGTCCGAGGACTCCATTCTTCTTGGCCTGGTCGAGGCTTCGCAGGAGGGCAGCTCGTAGGTTCATGGATTGAACATGGTCTCTGGGCGGAAAGAAGGGTTGAAGCTTCTGCAAACCACCAAAGATTAGCAGAGTCCAGGACACACGCTATTTGCACATACATTCCGCGCCTCTTCCGGGTCCCAGAGCACAAAGAGCTGGTAGAGAGTCCATTCTACGCAGTGGATGCGCTTTTTCTGCACAGAGAAAGTCTGCGCATCGAAGTCTGGCCAGTCTGGGAACGAGGTAAAGTCCAACAAGCGAAGGTTGGTCAAAAAGAGGGAGGCATTGGTGGTAGGCGCGGTACTCGTAGATATCGAGGCGTTGAGGGGTGCGCTCAGGGTCTTGGTCGACGGGCCCGATCGCGGTTGGCGTGACCGTGCAAGCAGAGAATTGGGTGGCAGAGTCGCCATAACGACATTTTGCTTTCAAGAAGCGGCCTCGAAGAATCAAAGTTGACTCTTGTCTTGCGTCTCCCTTCGGATGGAGTATAGGGGGGATGTCATCTACGCAGGCGCGTGTCGCATTGAATCGGTTCCAAATGCAGGCAGCGCATTTGTTGTGTTGATGGTGGGGAGGAAACGGCGGTGGAGGGATCAGCCCAGCCCAGCAACGCTTTAGCGCGCCAGGGGTCCCCAGAATCTCGGTTAGCGGTTGACTGCCTGCGCTATCAGTGGCACGTCAAGGCTCCGCCTGGCCTATCTGTCCTCACCTTAGTCCACTTCGACTCGCCTTGCACCAACTCATGCGCGGTGTAATTACATTGTCCCAGCTTCAAGGTGAGCGGACTGTTTCTTTTCTTTTACGAAGATGCTCGCTCCAGGCTCGCAGAGACTGGGCTTTGCAAACATTTCAGAGTCAGTAGCAGACTCGTTGAGAATTATCAAAGACATCTCTATACTTTACCTTATCGATCATCAATTAGAGCGCGGGTGTCTGTGCGTACAACATGGCGTTACTGCCTATCTATTCTCCGAGTATCCGTATCACTAAAGTTTAGACACATTACCAACGGTTAACCAACCAAAAAACAAACCCACCCAGTTTATCGATGCTACACACAATAGGGTTCCCTCGTCAAGTACATAGCTTTCCTACTCCCGTCTTCATGCCCAGTCTCTAATTTTACTGGTGAACTTCGGCTACGATCGAGTCAATTCAAGCAGTGGAAAGAGCTTCTCGGGTTTGATACAATGCAGCTTACTTTCTGCATCATCCAGATAGCTGACTTTCCTGATGTTGGAGTGAAGGTATAGGAGGGTCGAAGCACAGAGACATGTTCAGACAATAATCGTCGGCAAATTAGCAAAAGTTCAACCCAAGCAAACTTATACTTCTTTAACTCGACTAAACGAAGCGAAAGATCCCAAATGTAGACAGATTTTGTTTCAACGGCATTCACAGAGTCCCTCTCTAGCCCTATCCGCGCCTCCAGGCATCTTGTGCCTTGTTGGAATGACGCAGGCCACAATCGGCAGCAAGATGATTTGAATATCATCGTGAAGAAAGCTGAATGTATTTCCAATAGGTTATTGCCCAACTCTAGCTTCTTTTCGATCTTTATACAATGTGCCCTTAATTAGGATTACTGCCATAGCTGTTAGTAAACACATCCACAGAATACCACATCCTTTGTCAACTCACAATGTAGCTCCTGTGTTATCAGAACAGACAGCTTTCCCGGAGACGGCAATGCATTCCCCTTGTCCACTTGAAAGAAGCGTAGTGCCGTTTTCAAGATTAGGGTCAACATCAGTCCCGGCAAGATCTTGAAGAGCCTTCCTATCCGCGGCTTGCTGCTGTCGGCTACCGCCGCGCTGAGGCGAGGCCGCAGCAAGGCCGAAAAAGGCGATTAGGGTGACTGAGAAAATAGAGGAGAGCTTCATTATTCGATGTTTTATAATGGGAGTTGAAATGGAATGGTAGATTTCGAGGGTTCAGTGTTAGGAAAGAGGATTGGGCCAGCCGGAAGGTTAATCGATTTAACTCGAGCGAAGTCTGAACTTTGGAAATGAGATGCTCATTTCAAAAGCTAAATATTCACTTTTCTGCTCTACCTGAAGCCTTTATATGCATTGCGTGAACCAGGGCGTGAAGCTCATGTGTTGTCACAAATGGGATGACAGGCCGGTTTCGCGGTTGTCTCAAACTTGACAGGCGGCCCCTAGCACATAAGGGTGAACTTGACTCCTGCCACAATCTCGAGACAGGTCCACTCCAAGCGCACCTTAAGATCATCCTATATCATGGAACCTCTTTCTTACACTAAGGGACTCATAATAGAGACTAAAAGAAGTAATCTTTGTGCGTAGCATGGCTCCTCAAAGCAATCGCCTGGCACTTGGAATCTGAATCTCCTAGTTTGGATCACGACTTAGGTTTCGCTAAATGGAATGCTCGTCTTGACACAGGCATGGGATGCAGAATTAAGGATGAGAAAGCCGAAGCGGGGTAGTTCTTCTAGAATATTTCTCCATGTGAGAGCGGCCCTCGCCTTCCAACTAACCCCAGTTGCCCTTACCGACGAAACTGGTTCAATGCAAGCATCAGACATGGCAACATTTGCCAAAACCAATTCCCAATGACCAGGTTAAATATCATATTCAAAGAAAGCGATAAAGAATGTTTGGATTCAATGAGTCTAAGCATATTTCAGTGCGGATTTTAGAATCCCTTATCTGGTCTTGTAGTCGATTGGATTGCAATTAGCTTTCGGGCAGAATTTCCGTGATGTTGCTCTTGGCAAGCTTATCAGTCTCGTCCAATACTTGAATCAGCCCCTCTTTCGCAGAAGTGTGATTGTGACCTTTAGGCTGAGCCATTCCCATATGTTCCATAGTCACACAGATGACAGACTCCATCAAGCGCAGTGCCAAAGGTCCTGCAATTCCAACATTGTAGAATGCCGGGGTTTCATTGACTTCAAGCAGCCACGCGGTTCCGCTTGAGTCTATGAGAAAGTCCACCGCGAACAGTTCGAAGCATTTGTCCACTGTCGTGAACTTGTCCGCCATTGTGTGTACAGCGGCTCGGAACAGCTCCGCGGAAACGGCGCAGATCTGCTCAAAGACGTGCGCCTTCCAGTCACCGGGCAGCAAATCATCTGGAACATCCCAAAAGTCTCTCATTGACTCTCGATTGACAAAAATATCTTCGTCTTGAAGGGCTGTGTTGGTAAGAGAGGATTTGAGGCTTGGGTACAACCAGGGCGGTTCGTAATCTTCTCCGGCAAGAAGTGCAAGCAGTTCCTTGAACACATAGACCTTGAGACGGCCTACAGAGAGAACGTAGGCTCGAGCGTGCCACTTTCTTTTCTCTATCGGCGGAATAGAGACAACATATTGCTGAGCGACGAACTCGCGCATCTGGGCTGACGGAATACGACCGCCTTCCTTGAAAATGTGCTGGGGCTTTGGGCTTCTTTGGATCGCTTCCAAGTTTTGCTTTAGCGACAAGGCGCCTGTGGCAGTAACTAGCACATCAAGAGAGTCTAGACCAGGTGTAGATAGTGTTGGCGAGAAGTCCGGGTCGCCCTTTTCTGAACATGGGGTCGTATCTGGGAGAGGTTGTTGACTCTTGTATACCAGGATGCTCTCGTCCTCTTCTTCAACCTCGTACTCTGCAAGCTCGAGATGATCGGCAAGCTCATCTACTGTGCTAAACAGTCTGATGCCAGCACCACAGTCGACCATTGCCGGCTTCATAATCCACCAGTCGCGTTCTGATGGGGGCTTGCTCTCATTTGTCTCGAGTGAATACAGGAGCGAAAGGTCGTCTGCAGCAGTCAAAGACTCCTCGACATACTCGGCATAGTCTAACGATAGACGGACTGTAGCTGGCACATGACTTTTGAGGATGCTTTCTGGTCTCTTAGCTATCCACAGCTCCACAACTCTGGCAAGATAGTCTTTCCGAGCCAAAGCGTCGCTGTTCGGGTAGGCGTTGATCAGGCTCGTGGTCGCTGAGTTCAAGAGTTTGAAGTTCCGATTCAAGGCCCAACCATCACAAAATTGAAAGACTATCTTGGAGTTGGTCGGGAAATTATCGAAGTTGTCGATGAATATGGCATCCGGCGCGTGCGTTCGGATGTAGGACTTGATGTGTTCCGAGAGCCAAGGACTGGCTGGTTGGACATACGCGTACATTCTGGTTGAACCTGGAGAACAGTAACAGCATGCTTTTGTGAGAGGTTCGAGTCTCTTCTTAAGGTGATGTTGTTGACTTAGATGTCGTATGATCGGGGACAGACAGTTAGATCGTGGCTGCGGACCTGTGGTGGAGTTAGACGTCATGAGGAAACTAGGAATCTCTTGTGTGATCCATAGAACCCTTTAAATCCAACAACCAGTGGTTCCCCAGGAGTTAAGATGTCTCTCGTTATCTAATCATCTGGAGAATCGTAGCATCGTTCACCAGGTTAGAGTGGCCAAGAGGCATGCCAAGAGAGAACGCGGATTTCCATTACCTAACCTCTACTCTTGCGGTTTCCATTTGACATAACCAGCTTTATAAACGTAATCCAAGTCGAGCTCACTCCGAATAAAATCAATACATTTTTGATCCAGCTCGATGACTTCAGTCGAGTTGCTCACTTTGATCCTTGCGCCCCCCTCCTTTGAGTGTAGTCACACAAACAGCATATACTTCAACTTCACTCCGGAGAAACGTAATCGTGTTTGGTTCCCTCCAATGAAAACAGATGATTAGCTTTGACTTGGAATGAATATTTATGGATTTCGTAATGCACGACGCACAATCCGCCGTCACGTTATTAAGAGAAACCAGGGTCTGGAGCATCAAGTCGTGAGAGGCCATACGAGCACGCGATCTCATTCTGTCTAGCAACGCATGACAGCATGCTAAATCCTTGTTGTTAGTCATCAAGAAGCATTTGAAAGTTGCGGTGACTTCAAATTCGTCCAGAACTAAAACTGCGTGGAAAGGTACCTCAATTCGAACGCCAAAGATCACCAGGCACAGGCTTCATCTTCAAATCCATTGATATCATGTGGATATTTGAGGAGTCTGCCAGTATTTCAGATCAAGTGCAAAGGACCCTTAGTATCAGCATCCTACTCGTCCTTAAACATGATACCTTGAGCCCTGGATGATATTAAGAGTCGAGTCTAAAGATATTTGCCGAGAATTCCACACGTGCACGCCTACGATGCTGAAAGCTCAATCCGAAGACTAGCAATCAACCTTGGCTACTTGGCCCTGACCAGGAGCCAGACAAAAGCTGACTACACTTGTAACTACGTTCAGAAAGAAGATAATGGCGATAATGTGTGACTTTTAAGGTGGCATCGATTCTGAGCATTCATCGGAGGATTGGGCACAAGACCAAATATGCGCTGCTAGTCACCTTGTAAGTATGATGTATCAGATTAATCTCTCATTTTGGATGGCCATT